TCACGCTCGCACACTCCACACTAGTATCTGCTCTGAACTCGCAGAGATCGCAGGTCACCACAGCACACGTACCACGCTGCGACGACGTCTGATGCCGCGTCGTGCACTCATCATGAGACACGATCTGGATGCCGCGTGGCCTCGCTCCGGTACCGAAAAGTCAGAACATTGTTGGTAACCGGGCTTTCTTGTTGCGGCTCACCCATCTTTTGCCTGTCCTCGCCCGATATTGTTCAGCAGCCGCGCAGGTCTTTTATCACGATCCGGCAACCACTCTTCCCAACGGTTTCGAAGGGAATGGGATGCCACCAGGAACAACAAAAGGATTATCGTCCGCCTAACCTTTAAATTTAGGGTCGCCCCATAATGATCGTAAATTCGGGTATGGACAGCCGCCAGGCTCGACTTCATCAGTTGGTGGCCGAATGGGGGGTCCACTATACGGCACCGATGGCCCCGCCCACTCCGGCCCCGCAACCCCGGACACCGATACGACGAGTTCCACGCCGAAGAGTTGCTCAAGAGGCGGCGCATGTCGGCGGGCCAGGAAAAGCAATCACAGGGCACCATCAAACGGGCTTTCAGTTCTCACAAGAAGACATGGGAACCCAACGAGGTTTTTGAGGCTCTCAACGCCCATGTGGCCAACGGCGGAGCCCCCGGTGTCGCCGACGCCCTTATTGCGAAGCTGTTGTCTGCGGGCGGTAACTTGAACGTGGCAAACGTTAAGAATAAGACCAACCTACTCACGAGGCGCAAGAGTATCGAGTCCATGGAACGCAGCAGGGTGCTGCAGAAAGCTATCGAGAACCGCCAGACCGACATGGTTGCCGTCCTCGCCCAGCACGCGGATCCACTGACCCTCGACCAGGCACTGCCAATGGCGATGCGGTCCGGCGACCTTGCCATGGTGCACCTATTACTCAGCCGGGGCGCCAATGCCTCGCAAACGCAGGATGCCCAAGATGCATTCCGCCAAATGTGCATCATGGGCGGGTACTCGGAGCTGGTGGGGCTCGTCCTCCACTCGGACGGCCGTCCACCCCCGAGCTGGCTTTCCATGTCTATGGTTGATGCTGCCCGCAAGGGGTGCCTTCACACCGTGTTGAAACTCAGTCGGTCCGCCGCCGATGGCGAATACAACAAGGCCGAGGCTCTCAAGACAGCCATCGCCCAGTGCAGAGTAGACCTGGCGCTCGCGATTCTGACGGCCGCAAAACCCCCAACCAACGGAGGTCAGGGAGTCTTGGAAAGCTTCACACAGGTTCTCGGACACACCACCATCGGTCCCAACGAGAAAATGGCTCTTACCGAGGCTTTACTATGTGCCGGAGCGTCAGGTGACGTTGTCTCGGCCGCACTATCGCAGGCTTGCGAGACCGAGTTCTACGACATGGTCAACTTGCTCGTCTCATATGGGGCTTCAGTCGAGTATCAAAATGCCAGCATCGTCCGACATGCCATCGCTAAGGGGCAAAGCAGCCTCGTGCAGTTGTTGCTATGCGAATCGACGACACTCAATCCCATCTATGCTTCAGAATGTGTCATGAGCCTCCCCAAAACAATACCGCCAGAGGACCGTCACGCGGTGCTCAGTCTCCTGTTACGTAAGGGCGCGGGAGGAATTCCTTTGCACGAGGCCTTGATAGATGCTGTTCAGGCTGGTGACCTACAATCCGCACAACTCTTAACAACGCCCTGTTTTCCGGGGCCGCAACCCGCCCCTCCTAACGGCTGCCGCACCGGTTCTCCAGGAATCACGCACACCAGGCACGAGATGGCTTCAGTGGACCACAAGAACGGTCTAGCCCTGAGCACCGCGGTGCAGGCGGCAAACCTCCCGATGGTGAAGCAGCTTTTGACTGGCAAGCCATCGACTCGGATTCTCGACCAAGTGTTCCCCATAGTCCTTACTATCCAAGCTGCGGCCCGCTACCACATGGTCGAATGCTTTCTCGCCGCTGGCATCTCCAGGGGATGCATCTCCGCCGCTTTGCAACAGGCCATAGAGGAACAGCCTCCTCGCAGAGACGAGAACCTAATCGGCATACTACTGCGACACAATGCCGACGTGAACTTTAACGACGGAGCTGGGATTCTGTCAGCGGTCACAATCCGAGACCTGCCCTTGCTAGAGACTCTCCTCAGGAGCAGACCCTCCCCCCAGACTATGGCGGCCGCAATGGGCCGGGCCATGGCGGAAGAAAACAAGCCAGTCCGGTACGAGATGGTGCGGCTGTTGATCGCCGCCGGTGCCGGCCGAGATGGCACCGAGGCATCCGAAGCCCTGGCGCAACTATTACCCGTCAAACCGGTCGACATCCAGTTGGCTGCTCTACTACTAGAACAAGGCCGGGCAGACTGCAACTTCGACCAAGGCCTGCCCGTCGCCATAGGTATGCCTCACCATACCCCCACCCCGCGTATCCCCAACTAACCCAACCCAACCCAGCTGTGGCCGACCCCGACCTAGCGGTCCTCGAACTCATCCTCCAACACAGCCGCCCCAACCACGACACCCTCTACCGCGGGCTCGACACCCTCTCCAACCTCCCCACCACGCCCGCCAAACCCCCCAAACTTACCGCCCTCCTCCGCTACAACCCCTCCCCGGACATCCTCAACACAATCCTCTTCAAAGAAGTCCAAACCCTCCTCACCCACTCCACCACCCCCACCCCGACCCGCCCCCTAACCACCCTCACCACCCTCCTCACCGCCGGCGCCGACATCAACGCGCACAAGGCCGCCGCCCTCAGCAGCGCCATCAAAGCGGCCGACGCGCCCATCGTCGACCTCCTCTTCGACCACGCCGCCCCCGCCCTCACCGCGGCCTCCCTCGCCGCCGCCCTGCCCCACTCGCCAAAATTCATGGACCACATGGACCGCCTCGCCTAGACCCAAAGCCTCCTCGCCGGCGGGGCCCACCACCGGGGAGCCGCCCGCGCTCTGGCGTACGCTATTTCCATCGCACCCGGCGGATTTGTCACTAACGAGCCTGCTGGCGGACCATACGAGGACCAGTCCCCCTCCCGGGGTAGTCGTTTGGTGGTT